GACAGGAGCGCTAGGAAGTCCAAGCTCACTCCAGCTAGCAATTATTGAAGTAAATTCTCTGGTCGTCCACTGAAAATGCAGATGACGCGTTTTAGCCCCTCGCCAAATGACATGGATTCGCTTTGCTTTCCTATGTCATTTTTGAAATTGCTGGTTGACTTTAATAGTTAAGGGTACTAAATGCTACTTTCTTCCCCACGTCTCACTGCATCGCCCTCTCTTCCATCTGCTCCATCTTCCGTCCTGCCTTCCTCCTCCCGCTATACTCACCGTCTCCTCCTCCTCACCCTGGCACATCCGACATAGGCTGGATGACCTCCTAGCCAGGAGATTGAGTAACTCACCAGGACCTCAGCCTTGTACGAAGCCAAAAAGCTTTTTCTTATTGCACATATTTCATAAAGATTGCTGTTTTTAAAGGTATCAAGGGATTCCTCAGTAATCTCACAAAAAATGGCAATAAGAATGGAAAAGAAACACCCTTTTTTTTTTCTTCTCCTGGAACAGACAAAAAAATAACTTGGAGGAAAACCAACTAAATTTAGAAGGTAGCTGCGCGGCAGCTCTTCCTCCTGGCCAAAAGGAAGGGCCCCGGGGAAGAGGGCAGTATTTTTAGAGAGAAACCTCTCCCAAGGCCGCCCTCGGCAGGGGTTTCTGCAGGAAAAACGCCTTGCCGGTGCCCTGCCTCACAGAGACATGAAAAAAATGGATAATTCGGCCAATCCAAGATGTGCTGCTGTGTCCCGGGCAATGGGAAACGCAGACCTATGCACAAGCCCTCCTTGTGCATCCCGGAGCACCCAGCCCGTGCATCCAGCTCCCTTCCCTCCAGCCGCCCGCTTCAGCCATCTGAGAGCGCATCCGTGTCCAGGAAAAGAGGGTTAACTGGCCCCAAAAGCTGCTTGTTTGTTGTTGTTTTCCCCCCACGTCACTCACCCCCCTGCACGGAGAAGGGCTCGCAGAATCCCAGGAATCCACGGTGTGGTTTGCAGCAACAAAACAAACGCGACGACAGGACGCCTAAAGCAAACAAACCCCAGCCCCAAGCGCGGCCTTCGAGGACCAAGAAGGCGTATCCTCCGCGGGGCCAAAACCCAAAAAAAAGGCGGCTTGGGGAACAGAGCTAAATTGCAGGAAATAATAGGACTCCCAGGGAGATTTCTTAAAAAGCAGTGAGGGGAGGAACAAGGGAGAAAAGAAGTATTTAAGCCACGATTATGCTGCAACTTTGGCTCCAGATGTGCGCGCTGGGGAGATGCTCATCACATTTGCTGATGCTGCAACTGCTGCTTTCCAGCGGCGCCTTCACTGGGGTGTCCACCAGTGTCCATCCAGACATGGATTCGGGGGGAAAAGCAATGGGGAGAGCCCATAGATTTGGGCAAACAACTCCGTCTGTCCTCCTCGCACTTGAAAAGTCATGGAAAAGCCGACGGGAGCGTGGGCTCCTGCCCCATTGGAGGGGAAGCGGGATCATCACGAGCTGTGCGGGGGAAGAGGGCAAGTCGCCAGCAACATCTTATTTTTTAAAAAAGGATATTGAAAGCTGGAGCAGGGAGCCAGCAGTGTGAAATATAAGCACCCAGAGACCGCGAAAACAGGAGGTGAAGGAGGGAGATGGGGAAGGTCTAATAAAGAGAGGTCTATAAAACGCGGAGGCGCTCGCCAGCGAGGGTGCCGGAGGGGGCTCGCTGCGTCCCCGACTGTGGAAGCACAGATTTCCTTATCCCTCACTAAAAACACAGCCCTGCACCTTTCCCGAGGATGGGGACACGGGATGTACTCGCTGCTAATAAATGCTTATTTCTGGCGAGGAGTAGCCGGGTTGAGAACGAGCATTGTCTGGCTGCGGGCGGCTCCATCCCTGCTCCATCCCTCCCCAGGTTGACGGATCATAGCTCCATCCATCCATAGCTCCATAGCTGGCATGGCCCTCAGGAAATTTAGTAAAGGGAGGCTGTGGCATGATATTTGCTGAGGATGGGCAAGATCAATGGGCAACTCAAGCCTCCATGAGACATTTGTGGTTCTCCTGAATCCAAGCTGCCCTTCAGGGATGCCTTGAGCTCAACAGAGCGAGAGGCCACTTACACCCTATGGGAAACCCAGCACTGGCCCCCGCCACGGTTTCGAGGGATGAGAGTATCCGTAAGTATCATGCTCCTGATACAGAAACGCTCGGGTGATTCATCCATCACACACGTGACACGGGAGGTCATGCTCCAACAGCCTCCAAACTCAGCAAATCCCCGTTTCCCCCTGCTCGGCACTCAAGCTCTGAGCTTCCTTCCCCATGCTGGCGCAGAAACACCAGGAGGATGTTCATTCCTGTGGTTTTTTGACATTTGTATGTCAAGGCTACACAGGAGCTTGAAAACGGAACGGAGCTATGAGACTTGCTCCAATCCAAAGGAAAGGGGTTACATTTAAAAAGAGCTGAACTCGGTTTCCACCTCATCTCTGAAAAAGAATTACGTGGAGGGAGGTTTTTTTTTGTGCTACCTTTTTAATTTAAACCTTAATGGCACCTATTGCATGGCTTGGACTGAAAACAAAACCATCCAACCACCCTCCTAGTCTGTCTCTCCTGTGCCAGTACCGGGCTCTGCTGATGCAGAGCGTGGGAAAACGTCGCCTACAGCAAGGATGGGCCCCGCCGGTCACTTCATCCAGCAGGTTCTGCTGGTGACCATATTTAATGACACTTAAACACTCACCACCAGCCCCGCAGAGATCCCTCGACAGGCGCCAAGAGAGCACAGACCCAAGTGGAAAGCCACAGAAAAGGGAAACACCACTTTTAGGCTCTCATCCAGGTGCACTTTTTTCTCAGTTTGGACACACAGGCTCGAACTCTTCCAAAATTTCAGCAACTTTGGGTGTGAGGGGCACTTCTCTATTCCTCTTCCACATTCAAATGCATTGAAGGACAATGAGGAAGGCGGCATGATCCACCACCAGGGAATGAAACGTCACTCACAAATGGTTTTTCCATAGCAGTTTGCCACTTATTGTATTGAAAAACCACTTCAGAAGATGCGTCTCAAAGAGCCTTTTGATATTAGCATGATGAAAAACATAATGCAATTAAGCAACCCCACAGCATTTCTGTATATTGTACGAGCAGGACCTCAAATGACCACTTCATTCAAGCCCCATACATACATCACCACCTCCAATACAAGGCTGCTCGCATGCAAGATGCCTCCAACAGTTGCATAGCACCGAGGAATCCAAATCTCCTTCCCCAGGGGCACACGAGCAGATGGTAAAAGAGGATTCCTGGCTTGCAGCTCATATCACCCAAGCTTAACCATCCCTCTTCGGTGCCACGTCAAGGCAAAGTGCCGAAAACTGTTTCCATCAGCACCTCCCAAGAGCCTCCTGCCCGTCTCAAGGCTGACACCTAAAGTAAACAGCAAACTTGCCCTCTGGATGTCTCTTTTCTCTCATTGACCGCCCAGGATGACCACCTGGGCGTCTACCAGTTTTCCCCTTGCTTGTCATATGCAGTATATTAGTATTTAGACATGCACCTAGCCGGTTGTGGGATGCCCATGTTCGCTTCCTATACCTCAAACAAGCCATGGAAAGCCCAAACTGGTGTTGGTTGGCCACAGAGCATTGCAACCCTTCTACAAAAGACAGATTAAAAAAAGGTCCCACCAGGTACGTCCATCTCGGATCCCTACCTGCTGGGCAGTTGCATCGCTGGTGCGCGTCTCGGACCTCCCGGTGTCTCGGGAAGTGGAGCTTCAGCTTCTAAGGGAGAGCGAAAGGATTCATTAGCCCTGCCATGAGCAAACCCTCGGGAAAGCGGCATGCGGAGAGACGGCCAGGATGGGGACGGACACTTTGGGAGCATTAGCGCTCAGAGTGCTCAGGCAGGGCTGGCTTGATTGGAAGCAGGCTGCGGGGTTTCGTAACGGCCTCCAAATGTGCTTCTTCGCACGGGCATTACAAAACCCAGAGCCTGCGGTGGCCAACGGAGCATCTCCAAGATGGGGAAACAGAGCCCAAGCGAGGCCACCATTGGAATGGGCCCATTGGTCTCATTGGAAACACACTCAAAATTGACCCTTGTTCCATGCACAACATGTTTGGGGGATGGCATCCACACCAGCCCTAATAGGCATTATTAAAATAACAGTGGTTTAGTGAAAAAATGCAAATCAGTCCCAAAGAGTTACACATTAATACCTGGGAACCACTCACGGTTAATGATTTGGGAAGACCCCTCGGCAGAGGCTGCGAAGCTAAGGGGATGCTCCCTGTTCACAAAGCACAGCCAGGCCCAACTACGCGCCCCGGTTACCTCTTCCAACCCATTTCATAGCTGCACAAACATTTGCAGAGAAATAGGCTTATGTGAGGCTCAACCTGCTTGTCACAGGTGACCATTTTCACAGATTTTGCAATCAACTACTTTTGTCCAAAAAATAAAAATATATATTTTTTAAAAGTCATTCCCCTGATATTACACCCTCCTGCAAGAACACATCTGTTGGAGGGAAATGTGTTTTAGAGGAAGAAAAAAGCCTGTTTTTCCTGGGAAGGAAGAAGGCAGCAGCAACTGGAGCTTTCCCTTTTCCATCTTGGCATGACCGATCGTCCCACTGCAAGTCCAAAACCCATGACTGACCCAATACAGACAAGAAACCAGGTGTTTTTTGTGTGGCCAACTAAAATGTTGGGATATGGATTCACTTGGATGCTGGGGCAGGGAGATGGGGTCTATGTGAGGACAAGTGCCTGCTCTGAAAGCACATTTGATCCACAGTCTCAGCCAAAAAAGCACAGATATGGGATTGCTCGCGCCTTGGATATGGTCCAGCCTCATCGTGGGCCCTCCAGATGGCACAACGCACTTCTCTCCAGCTAATGGTCAAACATGGGCACGCGAGCGACAGCAGGTCCCATCCCCACCTGCGTCCAGGCCAACCGCAGCGCGTGGAGGCAAGACGGCCCCACGCCAGTCCCGAACGCCAAGAGCCGGCTTGGCTCGTGAGAGCAAAAAGGAAGAGCTTTCCCCCAAAACCGCCCTTTCTAAGGGAAAGTATCCAAACTGAGGCAAAGCAAACCCGTTATTTTAGAGGGCGGGTGACTCCCACGCGCCTGTCTGGCTCGTTGCTTGCGTGGCAACGTTGGGATGGCTCTGGTGGGCACAGGAACATGAGCACGACCTTCTTCTGCATCCCAGGCCCTCAAACCTTCCAAGGGCCTGTGCGTTTTGGCTGGGAATGCGCTTCACCCAAGGGCGAAGAGGCCTTCAGCAAACGGTGCAAAACTGTTTCCCACCACTATCATCAACCGCGAGAAGAAATGTGCCTCCAATAGATGATCCATTAGAGCCACCAGGAGGGTTTCAAGGGCTGGGGGCATTGCTCATGCTAATTGTTCCGTCTCCAATTTCACTGTTTTATCTCCAATTTCACCAGCTGAGCGAGCCGCACAAAAGGCTGGTGAATAACAGGGGCCACAGTTGAGAGGGACGAGGCATTGGGAGGAAACATGGGTTACCCGCCAAGGGATGCGGAAGGAAGAAGAAAAGGAAAAGGAATCCTACGATTTGGGGGTGGAAAGCACTAAGATAAGCGGAGGGAGGCAGAGGATGCTCAGTGTCAGTCTGTCCTTCCCGTCACCCTGTCCCGGAGATCCGCACAACCGAGCATCATCCGCCGCTGGTGCACGCTTGTGCAAAAACACACTTTTTAAGGAAAAACGGGATGGGGAGGAAGGACCCTGCAGCGGGGCCACCATGCGCAGCGTGACGCGAAGGGCACAGACCTCGTCAAGCAGCTGGTCGACTCTTCCCAAAATAGCCGTGTCCACGGGGTCGGCGGAGAGCCAGGCAGGGAGCGGCGGTGCCCGGTGCGCTTCCAGGTGCGAGAGCCGCGACTGCAGCTCCGACGTGCGGAAGTAGAGCAGGAGGCTGAGCCCCAGCGAGAGCAGCGACACGCCGGGCAGCCCCGAGCCCAGCAGCAGGGGCAGGCGGCAGCATCGCTCCCCACCGCTGGGCCGCCCGCTCGCCGCCGCCGAGCAGCCCCCGCCGAAGGCACTGGTGCTGCCTTCCCAGCTCTTCTCCTCCAGCATGCCCCGAGAAGCAATAAATAAATAAATAGAATAAATAATGCCTCAAGCGGGAGGCATCGGGGGCAGGGAGAAGAGTGCGTCCAAAGGGATCCAGACGCCGGTGAGTGATTGTGATGACCCCCAAGCTGGATGGTGGGAGCTCCCTTCAAAATATATAGATGTGGTGGGAGAAAAAAAAAATCCAAGGAAAGAGCAAAGTCCGATGGGGATCTCTCCTGTCCCGGCTGCTTTCGCCGCCTCCTTGCGAGCTGCCAGCTTTAGTTCGCGGCCGCGACCGTCCCCGTGGCTGCGCGGC